TCCCCCCCCCTAGAAAAAGGCCTTAGAGAATAGGTATAGGGTTGAAATGCATGTTCATAGCCAAATTTTTCAAGACCAGCTATTTAAAAAAAAATTATATTGATAACTTTTATAGTTTGGGTGCTAGGGAAAAACTCCTGAAAGGACAAACTTCTGAAAGGACAAACTCCTAAAAGGACAAACTTCTGAAAGGACAAACTCCTGAAAGGACAAACTTCTGAAAGGACAAACTCCTAAAAGGACAAACTTCTGAAAGGACAAACTCCTGAAAGGACAAACTTCTGAAAGAACAAACTCCTGAAAGGACAAACTTCTGAAAGGAAAAACTCCTAAAAGGACAAACTTCTGAAAGGAAAAACTCCTGAAAGGACAAACTTCTGAAAGGAAAAACTCCTGAAAGGACAAACTTCTGAAAGGAAAAACTCCTAACAGGACAAACTTCAGTAAAAACAAATTTCTTACAGGACAAACTTATTAAATAACACAATCATGAAAAAAAAAACCCCTAAACGGAAAAATTTCTGAAAGGACAAGCTTTCAAAAAGACAATTTTCTAAATATTCAAACTTCTAAAAGGTCCAAATTCGTAAATGTTTCTGTACCATGGGTTTAAAACTTGGGCCTTTCTTTTCGGCTAATCCTATTAAATGAACTACATAGTGTTAAATACTAAAAAGGAGTCAGCTCTGCAGCTAGGGGATTAGTAAGAGTCAAAAAAAGTGTGTTAAATCTTAATATCTAAAGTTTTATATTATTGCGTTATTTATTCCGCAGTTGTTTCTTTAAAGAAGTTCGTCCTCCTCAATGAATTCACAATGCCTGAAAGAGCCCTTTTTTGCATGTTTGCGTTCCATTGGCATGTTTAACATGGTATATAATCGTTGCATTTACAATGTACATATTACATGAGCATATTTTAATAATCGCATCTTTAAGAAATCTCTCATATTTTTTTCAACTTTATAAAGTTTAAATTTGTGAAAACATGGGTCCATGTTTGTAATCAGTATGCAGGCTCTACTCTTAGTTTCTCACCAAGTTCAAGCTTTAGTTTGCAAATATGGACAAAAAAAGTTTAAAGAAAAGTTTATGTTTTTGCATTAGCTCCCCCCCCCCCCCCTTCTACACACACTTTTGACATGATAGATCAGAAGTGCTTACAAAGTTAAAGAATGAATAAAATCTACTTTTAGATTTGTTTTAATCAAATTATGAACGCATGCTTGTGGAGCTAGATTTTGTACATAAAGATAATCCAAAATAAAGTAATTCAACAGAATAATCAAAGGTTGACAACTTTTAAATAAACAGAAGAAAAAAATTTCCCGCGAAGAGATTAACTAAGCTGATTGCAGTTTAACTAAACCGACCGTTTATTGGTCAATTCTCTAAAATTATAGGAAAAGAGAGAAAAGCATTGGTTTAGTCCTTTCTTCAAATATCTAAATTGCATAAAAATCTATTTTTTAAGGATTTTAAAACTTTTAAATCAGCGTAAGCTCGAGACTTTAAAGGAGAGATGGTGGAATCAAAATCCTAAGAAGAAGGTAAACCACACCCGTCTAAAAGTTGTATCCGAGCCGGTACAACACGTATACTGTATGTATATGCCTTTAGTAGTACCGTCCAGTCCGGCTAATGTAGCCTGACAAGATCACAGGGAAACACTAAAAACAATAATCCCCCCATCCCCATGCATCCTTTCTAGACCGGTTTAATCTGATCGTTTTTTTGTAATTAAAATGAAATTGACTAAATTAAAAAAGAAGTGGAAAATAAAAATAAAAAAAGTTAGATTTAATAATTGTATTTTCAAAATTTTAGAAGAATGAAAAGCTTTTTAAGAAATTTTTTTGCCATTTTTCGCATCCATAAACCTTCCTTGGGATCATGAAAGGTCCCTTACAAATTTTGGGCTCGATCAGTTCAACCATTTTAAGGTTCTAACACCAAAGCAAAGTAATATATATTGAAGATCCACACTCGAATTACCGCTGACTTGTAATTTGGAATTGCATGAATCTTAAGACAAATTATTTTCATTTATCTGATATACATAATACAGTGCAGTGAGAACCAAAAAACAGTGGTCTCTTGTCGTACTTAATTATAAAATGTTGCTTCAGATTTTGTATTTTTTAACTGAATTTCCAATAAATGTGAGCGGAACATTCTTTAACTTCAAACTTTTTTAAAAATGTCGAAATTGCAAATGACTTACTTAATGATTTAACAAAGAAAGTGTACGGTTGCAGAGAATCAAATATGTAAGCAAACAGATAACAATAATTTAGTATATTTTTCTCTAAAGTCTTATTCTCATCTTTTTTGGGTAACCCTGTAGCAAGAATTGAAAATAAAATATCCTTAACTGAGTTTTTGCCATAAACTCAAAATTGAACAATATTGACTTTAAATATTTCAACCGTACGGCAAAAAGTATGTTGAAAGACGATTGTAGTGATTGTACTGAATGTACTGAATGTACTAAATGTACTAAACGTACTGAATGTACTAAATGTACTAAATGTACTAAATGTACTGAACGTACTGAATGTACTGAATGTACTGAATGTACTAAATGTACTGAATGTACTAATTTTACTGATTGTACTGATTGTACTGATTGTACTGAATGTACTGATTGTACTAAATGTACTGAATGAACTGAATGTACTGATTGTACTTATTGAACTGATTGTACTGATTGTACTGATTGTACTGATTGTACTGATTTTACTGATTGTACAGAATTGTACTAAATGTACTGAATGTACTGATTATACTGATTGTACTGATTGTACTGAATGTATTGAATGTACTGAATTAAGGAATTGGACTGGCAATTATAACCCTGGGTATTGAGTACTGGTACTACAAGTACAAGAAACCTCTATCAAGGGTCTCCTCTTCTGCTCAAAATATTATTGTAAGTATGAATAAAGAGACTGTTATTGTAATCTAAAAGGGGTATAGACAAATCTACCTTTTCAACATTCTACTTTATGTAATTCTACGTTTTTACCGTTCTACCTTTTGTAATTCTACGTTTTTACCGTTCTACCTTTTTTATGTTTTATCTTTTGTATGTTCTACCTTTTGTATTATCTACCTTTTGTATGATCTACCTTTTGTATTATCTACCTTTTGTATGTTCTACCTTTTGTATGTTCTACCTTTTGTATGTTCTACCTTTCATAATTCTACCTTTTGTTCTTCTTCCTTTTTGTAATTCTACCTTTTTGTAATTCTAGCTTTTTGTAGTTCTACATTTTTGTAATTCTACCTTTTGTAATTTTACCTTTTGTAATTCTACCTTTTGTAATTCTACCTTTTTATAATTATACCTTTTTATAATTCTACCTTTTGTAATTCTACCTTTTGTAATTCTACCTTTTTATAATTCGACCTTTTTATAATTCTACCTTTTGTAATTCTACCTTTTGTAATTCTACCTTTTTTATAATTCTACCTTTTGTACTGGAGCCCAATTCACAATGATTCCCTTAAAACCTTTATCTGAACATTAATGTGGAAGATATCGTCGTTTACGTTGACTTTAAAAAAAAAGATTAATAAGAAAAAAGAAAAAATCCTAATCGGACAAAGATTTTAAAGGTTTCATTTTAGTCCCTTGAAATTACGTATTCAGCTAGTTTAAACATAAACATATTAAATTATTGGTTTTCATGATCGATTTCGTATTTTCGTATTCAGGGTTTTTCAATCAAAAATTGATAATTTTTTTAAGGCGATTTTCTTGTAAAACAGGCAATTTTCAAATTATAATTAATAAAATAAATATTTCAGGATAAAAAGGGACATGCATTTGACAAATCTTACGGGTAAGCAATATGTATTTTAGAGTATACTTGAAGTGAGTCTTTGCCACAAACTCAAATTTTGAATCTTGATAGTATAAACCTTTGATATTTCTAACTTGATTATTTGATCTAATAGAATTCATAGTTTGCAATAAATAAGGTCTTTGATATTAGGTTGAATATGAGAGTTTGTTGCAAAAGACTCTAATGTTTTTACTCTAAAGAGGCGATAATGCTATTTAAATAATGATTATTTATTTTGTAGAGGTCGAGGAAGTGCAGATGTGGTTCCTGTAGGGAACCCTTGGTAATCATATCTTCGAATGTTACAACCTTGGTAATCATATTTTCGAATTTTGCAATTTGGTGATCAAATCTTCGAATTTCACATCCTTGGTAAATACTGTCATCGAATTTGAAATCCTTGCTGATCATATCTTCGAATTTTTCATCCTCGTAATCGTATCTTCGAATTGTATAACCTTGGTAATCATATCTTCGAGTTTTTCATTTAAAGGAACTTGTTACTTGCCACAAACTCTAACGTTAAAGTTTGTATATCTTTACAAACTGATATCGTAGATTCTTGATATTTCAAACTCTGAATTCTGACAGATTAGATAGTCGTAGTTAGAAATATCAATCATCAGGTTATACAGATATATGTTTAAAAATTTAGGGTTGTGCAAAATAATCAGTTCCTTAATAAAATACTAAATTATTAAAAAATTTCAACTTTTTACGATTAAAGTAAAAATTATTTTTAAACATTTATATTTGACATTGTGTTAAATTTTGTAATCGTCCTTATTAATATGTATAGCTATTAAAATGCAAAAAAAAAAATTTTTTTTTAATTCCTGCACAATATATTGTAAATATATGTAAAAACTATAAATCTGTAGAATGTAAGAAATGATATTTATTCTCTATATCTATATTTATGATTCATGTTAAATAATGATGGTTTCCTTTTATCTAAAATATATCTGTAGCAATCAATAAAAATGTCTTTCAACCAGTTATAGCCAGGGATTGGCCTCGTTTACAGGAACGGTCATTCCGAAAATTAACGATTGCATAAAAACGCGTTATTAAAAAATGGAACGATCGAAAATTAATGAACGTGTCGAACGAATAGTAGTTAACTTGAAAAAAACGGTTTTAACATTCAAAAACATAAAATATTATACAGTGATAACCAGACAACTCTGAAATAGGAAGACGACTTTTAAACTCAAGTTAGTACTTAAACTAGTTCAACTTTATGGAAGGAACGGCCTAAGAGTGGAAGGAAAGATTTCAAAAAATAAAAACCTACCAAGCCTACAAACGCCTACCAACGCAAAACTTAGTGTAACAAGCGGGGCCAAGTAAAATAGGGAATATGCATTCTGTAAAAACACGTAATGAAGGAATTTGAAAAAGAAGCCGACCAAGAAAAAGACGACATTTTATGAAGAATAGAAGGAATTTGTAGATATGACACAACTTTTAATGAAATTAAAATCACTAAACAAATAATGTTTAATCCTAAAAACCTTGTATTTCAAAGAGCTACAGTGAAAACTAGAAAACGGTGAAATTGTTGTCGTCTTCTTTCTTCATTCATACTTCTATATATATACTTTGCTTGTCATGGTGTTTGTTTTTTGTTTGTATACCATAAATGTCAAAACGGCTGAACCGAGCAGGTCAAAATATTTTGTAGGACCTCACGTGACCCCAGGAAAGGTAAATGGATGATCGAAATTTCCAAAAATTTGCCTCTAACAAATTTTAATTTTTGAAAATTTTGACATTTTTTCAAAATCCGCGAAACTTTTTGTTTCTATTGTTTTAGAATGTTTACATAGAGAAAATGTTCACTTTATAATTTGCAACTGAACTATTTCTAAAAAAATTTGAGTGAAGAATGCAAGGAATATATTTTCTGCTACAATTTTTAATTACAAAAGCTTGGAAAGTCTTAATTCGTTCTGGCATAGAAATAGGAAACAGTTCATTCCATATACAGTGAAACCCTTAATAACGAATACATCGAAAGAATTCATCAAATGTCGTATTCTTCACTTTCTGATAATGGAATGTTTCAGATATTTAGTTTTTTAATTAAATGATTAAATGGAACTCTTTAAAACTGTTCCTGCATATTCATGGCTATTTATTTATTTTCGCAAATACTGAAATTTCCGTAATATAGTATAAAACTCATTAAAAAATTGTCAAGACGACATTTGATAAATTCTTCCGATGTATTCGTTATTAAGGGTTTCACTGTATATAGATCAGATGTATCAGATCTATTTGTATCTTTCGTGTTAGTACAGCTGGTAACAAAGGATACGACGTTAAGGAAACGAAACCAGGAGACCAGGAAATCAAAATTGAAATATTCTTTACAGTCGTCTCTGAAGTCTTATCCTTTGTGGATAATTCTGAACGTCAGCAAAAAGGGATTGTATTTCAGAAATGATATTTTGTCCAAATTATATTTCAAATTTAACGAATATGAAATTACGCAATTGCATCTAAACATTTTGAACAGTCGGCTTGTAAGTACTCCTCCTAAACAAAGAAGTAAATGTTAATTAAGATTTAGATGCTGTTTCAGTTCCTGTCTGGTTAAATAATTTCCTGAAAGCTGATTTCAACTCAATGATTAGTTTTTCCTGATTCCTGTCATAAAAGCTTATTTCCTGATACCTTTAAACCTAATTTCCTGTCATTAATAAGTTTTATAACACCTCATTTCCTGCCAATAATTAGGTTTATCGTCTTCCTACCTGTAAACCTGATTTCCCTCCAATTACTAGGTTTATATCTTCCTACCTGTTAACCTGATTTCTTGCTAAGTACTAGGTTTACATCTTCTTACCTGTAAACCTGATTTCCTGCCAAGTACTAGGTTTAAATCTTCCTACCTGTAAACCTGATTTCCTGCCAACTACTAGGTTTATATTTTCCTACCTGTTAACCTGATTTCCTGCCAATTACTAGGTTTAAATCTTCCTACCTAAAAACCCGATTTCCTGCCAACCACTAAATGTATTGCTTTCCTTCCTGTAAACCTAATTTTGTGCCAATAATTAGATTCATCGTCTTCCGTCAATAACCTGATTTCCTGCCAATCACTAAATGCTTTTCAACTTCCTACCTGTAAACCTCATTTCCTGCCAATAGAGTTTGTAAAACTTGAGTTTTCTCGACTGTATTCTTGTTTGCAAAGATATCTTGACTAATCACAATCATATCCGCATCTTTTCCTGAAATATTCATTATGATTGTTATTTTCAAATGCAAAATTTTGATAAATATTAACGACAAGATGGAGGGCCCGGCGTTGCACGTAGAAAACAATTTGAAAACAATTTGAAAAAAATTTGAAAAAAAAATTCGATTTTTGAGCCTAAACATCCCTAAGTGTCCCCAAAAAAATTCAGTCTAATCGGTCCAGCCGTTTGGCCGGCTATAGGCAACATATATATATATATATATACCAATGTCTTGTTTTATTATATAGATAATTATTTACAACTACTTTATATGGAAGTTAAGGTAATTTTACTTCCCAAGAACTAAGCTCGGGAAAAAGCCGATTTTTCGTTCAGAATTTGAGCGGAAAGGGATGGTCCCTCTCTATAGACACTATTACCAATCAACAGCGAATAGGCAGTTTAATTTCCCTGTGATTACCCAAATAAGTGAACGGTCCCTTTAAAAAATGCACTACTTTTTTCTCATATAACTTAGCAGCGTGGGGTTTTATTTTAATTTAAATTGTCCCCCAGGGACAGATAAGAAACTTACTGGGTTACCCACAAAGGATTAAGTCTTCTGTCTTAAATATGGTACTTACATTGCTTATTTAATAGTTTGGAAAAGAAAGAAAGAAGTTTATAATTGCAGGGAATCCTGAACAAAAAGAAGACAGACTTTATAAATTCGGTACAGTCGTCTCTGTGGGTAACCTTGTAGAAACCGCTGTAAAGGGAATCAAGGATCGGTATCGAAAACTCGAAAAAAATCTCAGTGCAAGTTTTGTTTTTATGCATCCCATAAATTGCAATACACTCATTTTATAAACAATGATAAAGGGGTTCCATCTTTTTCTGATACCTGGTTCCAAGGTAATAATGCAAGGAAATTTATTTGCTGTGGCGTATTCTCTGCCTACATATTGAAACAGTTCTCTCCGGGCGGTGTTTGTAAACAAGAATAGATGCATCAGTTTTAATCTAGTATCCGAGGAGGATAAAAGCATTGAATTTTGATAATTTTGATAATTCACATAATAGTTTCCTATGACCAGAATATTTCAGTGATTTTGTATGTGAAAGATGGATCCCATGTCAGGCTTCGACATCCGTCTTGTGCCTACATTAACGCCTAGAGACAGTACACTGCAGTAATAAAAATACGTACACCTCTAAATAACTATCTTTACATAATAAATTCTTTGCCTGGTTCTAAAGTTCCAACAACTTTTTCTTGACGCATAGTGTACGCAGCATTTATTGTGTACATCTCTATGGCCTGCAAAAAATATAAGATGGTTTACGTCACGAACAGAGTATCCCACATTATACAAGATCGTGGTATAACCTTTAAATTGCGCTTTGCGGTGTCCTGCATGGTGCGGACTCTTGCATGGGGAGGACTCGACCCATTTTCACACAATGTTAGACATAAAAAGCAATGTTAAAGCATTACAAATTATTAGTTGACATATAGCAAATACCCATTAAGTTCTTAAATGTATTTTAACAGGGGTAAAGGCAAAAAAGTTTATTTCCTCTTGAATGTCGTCTTCCTTTCAAATCATAAAACAATTAATATTTACTCGATACATGGATAATTTTTAATTTGTTTTTCAAATCAAAATTCAAAGATAACAAAAAATTTTATAACATTGCTTTTTATGTCTAAAATTTTCTTGAAATTGTTAAAACTTTAAGGGGAGTCCGCCCCATGCAAGATTCCGCTCCATGCATGACTGTGGGACTAATCATAAAATATAAAAAAAGCATTAAAAAAATATTATATTGCTAATATAAAAAAATTTTATATTGCTAATATAAAGATTTGCATGCAGAAAAAAAACAAGGTTTATTTTAATATAATATGCGTATTATGGCGTTAAAGCTTGGAGATAATTCTATATAAAATGGGACGCTCTGTATATTTATTGAAGCTCACTTACAGAATTGACTAAGATGTACATTGCCTTCTACGAGATATGTTTTTTTTCAGAATTAGAAGAGTAAAATAATTTGACATCTAAAAATAAGGGCCTGGTTTAAAACCTTTTCTAAGGATAAAATTGAATTTTAAAGTTTTCACCTGATGCAGTTCCACACTTTCTGCTCCTCTATTCATTGCATGTTTTAAACCTGTAAAAAAAAAATTGTATTGCAATTTCTCAAATTTTTATTGCCAACAAGTGTTTTTGTGCATTTAATGAATCATAATTTTACTAAATATTACAAAATAATTATCTTTCATTCATCTTTTTAGCTGAAAAAATATTTTAGGTGCACTTTAAATGGTAAATAATAAAATATATTTATTTTCAATTTTGATAATCACACCGTTTTCTCAATTTTTAATAATTTCAATAATTAATATAATAATATATTTTTCAGCGAAAATTTGTCAAATCACTATATCTTTGCTAAATAATGATAAACCTTGCTATTAAATTTATAATTTTTGATCTATCAGAATTCATAGTTTGAATTATTTAGGTCTACGACTTTTGGTTGCAAAAATATAGTTAATATGAAAAAGAGTTTGTTGAAAGACTCAGTTCTTTTGTGGTTTTTGGAAGGATAATTTTGTATGCATAGTCGGGTTCTATAAACTAGAAGTCCTGGTTAAAAGTCCAGTGAGTGTTAATTTTAGAAACCATTTTCATCAATTTACTGTAGATGTTTTGTATTTGGTATTTGATATTTTGATACTTAACTACATGTATAAAGTTTTTTTTTGGTGGATTTAGAATGAGAAATCAAAATATGACTGAGAATGCTCCGATACAAACCGAATACACAGACAGAAGAAACCCTAAAATTTTGTTCGCGATAGCGAAAAAAAATTAGGGTTATCAAAATAAGTGAGATATTTCTAACATTTTTTTTTTATAATTTCGAAAAAAATGTTCGTTATGTTAACTAGCTTTAGGAAGTTCGAATACCTCGATGGAATTTTCGAACAAAATTTGAAATGCTCTTCTAATTTACTAATTTTGTACCTTGGAAAGGATTAACAGGAGACACATCATAGTCACTGGACAGAGTAAGTTTAACGCCAGCTTTTCGTAAACTGTTTACTGGGATAAACTTCTCAGCCTGCTTTAAATCTATCAGACCACCTACATAAACAGTTTAAAGGGACTGAACAAAAACAGTTTAAAGGGACTGAATGTCTACTGTTGGGTATGTACCGTTGTGAATCTGTCATGCCATTCTATAGATGGAGGGTACCTTTAACACAGTGGAAAGTATCATTAAAGAATTTCCGAGCCAAGTGAAGTTAGATATTACTGTTTTGTGAGTTGAAAACTATGGAATGAACGATATTAGTTAAACTAATCAACTTCTTCCGCTAAATAAAAGTTAAGTCTCATGGTAAAACTTTGAATTAATCGATCTATTCCACGATTCTGAATTAGTTGTGTCCATTCAAAAGGTTGCAGAAATATTAAAAAGATATATTTTGTACAGCATAATCATCAAGACTAGGTACAATTAAAATGATTGTCTAAATATTACCAATATGTGCGATTGCTTCCTCCGGAAGTGTCCATGTTCCAGCAACCTTTAATATACAGTTAGAATCAGAAAACTGTAAAATAGGAAGACGACATTGAATCAATACTGAAGTGCATTTAATGTTATTAAAAAGCAAGTAGCGTTACTAGGAAGTTATTCAATCTCTTTTTAAGTGCATGAAATAGGTCTGTTAACAGTGCACATTTTCTGTGCATCATGTTCATTGTACTATTTAAATTCATAACTTTAGTCTTCAGCAGTTCTTTTATTGAAGACAAAAAAAAATAGATTTGAATCAAGTTCTTGTCAAAAACTATAAGTTGTCTAAACTTCAGTTGGCGAAGATAATGCATGGATTAGAAAATCTTTACGTCTCAATATTCTTTAAAATCTTGTGCCAGATCTTTGTAATGTTAGCGATCACTATTTAATATCTGCAAAAGGGTTTGAGAAAACCAGTTTTATATCAAGAATATTTCTTTACAAATTTGAATTTTACTTCAGAATTTAAAGTTAATTGCACGTTGTAGGGTTTGNTTCTTAATAACATCAAACAAAAAACAACAAAATATCGTCTTTTTAATGTGAACGTGTTTTTAAGCAATGGACAAATGTCTAGACAAAAAATAAACAGTTTTTAAGAAGGAGATGAATACTTTTATATTCTCGATATTCACTGCTCGCAGATTTAACGGTTTGGTCCTTTTACCAGAGAACTATGACTTTTGACCACAATTGAACCAATCAAACCGGTTTTTTTCGGCCTTTTCTCTTTTATTCTTTTTCGTCGGCATATGCGTTTAAACGCATAAAAAGACAACCCTGTAAGTTTAAAGATTGTTGAATTTATAGACGAACATGTGATCGAATTTAATTAGAGGAAACCGAATTTTCCATTCCTGGGACCAATAAGGTATTCAATTGTCTAGGTTAAAGCCGTCGAGGGGAGATTGAACCACCTGAGCGCTTTTAGGTCGCAGGTTTAATTTATATAAGTCCCATCCATTCTATGCAATTAAAACTCAATTTTTTTAATGATTGATATATTTATGATATTTACCTCTGTGAAGTAATTCATCCCTGTATTTCCAGTTCCTAATCCTAATCCAAGTTCTATCTTGTAAGGAGAAAACATAGCGGCTGTAGTGGAGTCCTAGACATATCATAGAATAGTGAATCCATGCATAGATGTTTAGAAAAGTTTAGTAAATTTTCTCAAAAATGTGTGTGTAAGTAATACCGAACTGAAAGTGTGTGTTGTAGGTATATACAGAGCATTAGAATCTCTGTATGTGTACAGTCTAGGAGAGTACAGAAAAAGCCGATTTTTCGTTCAGAATTTGAGCNCTGTAATGTTCATGACCAAAGACTTCCAATTCAACCTTTGGATCGTAATATCTTAAAGTTTTAAGTCGTCTTTAATTTTTAATCCTTTATGGGTAATCATGTATCAGAGTTTTTGATAAATCAGTAATTTTAGATAAATTTATCACAATGATCATACCAGTAATCCATCCGAGTACACCTTGATCTGGTTCCTTCGTAGCATAGGGTCTGTATTAGAAAATAGTGCCTTTAGATCCTACAAACACAGATTTATGAAAGGAACTGCAGCAGGGCGTACTTTTAAGTGGTCCTTGGTGTAAAGAATTCACTTCCGATCCACAACAGTACTCTATTGAAACATTTTCACATTATTTTTCATATAAAAGAGTTCTATGGTGAATCTAAGACGTATTTAGAAAGTTAACAAGTAAAACAAGAGAGAAGAGTGCAAAGATTATAAGTTTACTGTCTGTACATCTTTCTGAGAAGTACAAATTCAATAAAAGAAAGAAGGTTGCAAAGATTATGAATTTGCCGTACATCTATCAAATCAGGTATGTTTATAAAATACGACAAAATGGTGGCAGAATTAGCGTAAAAAGTTAAAAATTATGAAATTATGTACAACAATCTGTGAATCCGGAAGCTGCGGATAAGCCCAAAGTGCTAGAACAGCTCTGCTAGTGAGGAGACCGTCCTTCTTAACCTTCTCATAAGTTTCATGACTGCTTCGCTTCCAGTAGCATCTAAAATTGAAGATATGAAAGGGACTGTAAGCGTAATTTTAAGTGAACCTCCATGCAAAGATAGGAATGCTCGATTTAGAACGGTACCCTAGAAACCTTTGACTGATCATCAACGGTACAGAACTCCGTGTTTTAACTTTAAAATGGTGCTCAAATTGCCGAAAAACGGAGTGTACGTGGGCGTACAGTGTGAACTTAATGCAGTTAGTTTTACATATTTCTCGAAAACTTCGAATAATATATGTCCAACGAAGTTTTCAAAATTCAAATGAAAGTGTAAATGTTCTAGAAAGAAATTATCAATATTTCTTTAATAAAGAACAGCTGGCATACAAAGTCAACAATAATAGTAAGCGTTTCTCTACAAATGGAAATGTCAATTAAAATTACGTCTGAAGTTTGTTAAGGTGTGGCCAGATTTGTTCCTCCAAACTAACTTTAAAATCAGTAAAAATCCAGTTGATTAAAATCTTGGAAACATGCTCAATTAAAGTTTATGGATTATCCAATTTTTGTCAAATTGTCAAATTTTCGTATCATTTTGCCGTTTTGTAGCAACAGTATCATAAGCAGACTTTGCTAAAAATAATTCTAGCAACAGTATTTTTATTTGTCCTACTAACCTTGCATCTACTACAGATGTTATTCCGTTCTCTGCTAATACACCCAAAGTATAAACTAATCCTAGAAATATATATTTGTGTAATACAGTAAGAATCAGAAAACACTGGAATTGTTGTCATATTTTTTTAAGTCATTAAATGTCGCTAGATATTTTGTAATTTTCAATTCCACTATCTCTAAAAAGGTGCTCTAGGTCAAGTCCATAATGCAAATAAAATTATTTCAGAGGTGTACGCATCTTTTGTACTGCAGTGTACAGTCTTTGGACTGAAAAGTAAACACAAGACGGATGTCACAGCCTGACATGGAATCCATTTTCACAAAAATGAACTATGAAATATTCTGGCCATTGGGAAACTATTATGTGAATTATCAAAATTTTCAAAATTTAATGCTTTCAACCTCCTTGGATACTAAACGAACACTGATGCATCTATTCTTGTTTACAAATTCCGCCCAGAGAGAGACGCAACTGCAATTAAGTTTCCTTGCATGATAACCTTGCTCTAGGTGTTCTAGAATTAGAAATATATCACTTGCAACAATTTACAATTGAAAGAAAAAGAAGACGACAAAAATTTAACTGTTTCCTATTTCTCTTTGTACATTATAAATACATGTTTAAATTTCAAATGAAATAGCCATTTGGGTTTTTTTTTGCAGAAAATCAATAAACCTCAATTTTGATTTTATTACTTTCATCATATTGGCATTACCACATTTAACCATGTTGTTCAAGATGTTTTATGAATTATTCTTATTTTGAACATAAAATGGAAAAATATTATAAATTTAATTTTCATTTTGAAGAACTGACATACATACATAGAGACAAGTAAAATATGTAGATTTAGCCGTTTAGTCAAACCATAAATATATCATTAATAAAAGATACTTGCATTTAAAAATTTTAGCTAAACTATTTTTCAGATAAACAATATGTTTGTTTTGACTTTTTGTCTTTTTAGAGCCAACATGTTTATCGAAATAAGCAGAATTTTTAAAATGTTTGCTTGTTTGTTTTATGAGATTGCAAAGGTGTATAGTAAGTAATGTTATTTTCTACAAGTTTTCTTCTAAAACTTTCTGAAAAAATGAGAATCGCAAACACTGTTTGTTTTTATGTTACCCTATACAAACTCTATACAGCTAACATATCTCAGGATGTGGTGTCACGAAGCGCCCTGGATTTTATTTATAATTTACCATCATATTGTTTCTTTAGTAGCTGAGGGTAAGTGTTTGGATCCAGAGCAATTCCCATCACAATGTTTCCTAAAGAAAATTTCCTAAATAGACTGAATAATGCTTCTATGAACAACAATTATTTATCAGGGGTTTACAGATTTTACAGATTTTTTTACAGGTTTTACATGAATAATGTTTCTATGAATGGCGTCTTTTGTGATTTGGAGGATATTCAGAAAAATTAGCACAAAAAAAAAAATCCTTCTCGTTCTACATTTTTGTGGGTTTCAACACATTTTTAAAATCTCTAAAAATGATATTTGCTTAACAGACAAAAAGAAACGAGAAAATTAGAATCTGGAGTCTGTTTGTTTTGATTGGGAAACTCGGCGGAACCACGGGAATGTTCTTAGCGTGGTTTAATACTTTAAAATTATACAGATTGACTTTAATTAGACAAAGCTGGATTCTCAAGCTATATTAACTACAGAAATATCTTGGAACATTTTATTTTTTAAAAACTAAACCAATCTTTGCTTGGAATTTTCCCTATAGAAATTCATCCCAGAATAATATTCTTATATAAAAAGATATAAAAAGTACTTTACCTGCATTTTCTAGAAGAATTCCATTTGGTTCTCCAGTAGAGTCCTTCATAATAACTCCACCTGATTAAATAGTGTTATAAACATTTTTTTCTGCAGGGACTTTTTATGCAAAATATAAAAAGCTTTGATTGTGATTTTGATCAATTGTATAAAAAACATCAAATGTATGTGTACATTGTACATTGTACACATAAATTTGATGTTTTTGACGTACTACAATGTACAATCTATAAAAATACATTAATATAAAATCCAAACAGTTACGTATACATGAGAATGATTGATTTAAAACTGTCAACCAAACCGTTAAATCTTTAGGATATAATTTTCAATGTAAAAATCAAATGTCAACATAATTTGTAATTGAGCCTGTATTGTACGATTCACAACGTATACCCTAAAACCTTGTAATATAGAAACTCATAAATGTGACTTGCAATGTTATGCAGTAGAGACAAGAAAGAAAAGGAGAATTAGTTGTCAGGACGATATTTTCAACATTGTTAACCGTTGTGAATCGAATATGTAACTCGGCTCACTTGAAATAACATGCACAGTCCCTTTTCTAATTAACCTGAGGGATTAGCTACACCCTTGAGGAACCCCGCTTTCTCCAGCGCCTTGCTGTTCACCCAGACGGAGTGGGAGGTCTCCTCCAGCATGACAACAGGGCGGTCAGGGACTACTGAATCTAAGAGGGCTCGGGGGGACGGTCCTCCAGTTTTCAAATAATCTAAATTAACGAAAAATTAAAATAATTATGGTCACTCTTGAAATAGTGTTGCTAATATTTTAAAAAGGAATTGAAAATAAAATTGTCTAATCTCTATTTTTTTCAACTTGATGATGTAAACCTTTGATATTTTAAACTTAGGTAATTAATTGTACTTTGCTTTTGAAACTCAGAAGATTACGGGAATGGTCTTAAAACTTGGTTTTAAGATTCTAAATTTAGAACATTTTAAAGGAATTAAGGAGAATTGTTTTACAGGCAAAGCTGTGTTTTCATGAGCTAAATAGCTTAATATATTTACACATGATAAGAAAAATTAGCTTTCATCTAAAAGAAAAGCAAGTGAAACGCGTTCCAAAACGAATTGTACTTATAATAACTTAAGGAAAATTTGAAGATGGACTTTGAAGTTATCATACATTTTACCCAGAGATTTTGAGACATTGAAAGAATTTATAAAGATGCTGAACAAAGTTTATCAGTCTGTTTAAATTTTCAAGTTAAAAAAGGATAACAATTAACAAACCTAGAAGTGCTCTGATGGAATGACCATTGCCCAAAACCCATTCAGTTGGCGATGCTTTCTGAATTATATAAAATTATACAATACAGCAAAATAAGAACTAGTTTGCCCACTTTTTGCTATTTTTTTGCTGTTCAAATCCGTTAGTTAATTAAAGATATCATTATGTACAGGGTTACCCTCATAGGATGAGACTTCAGAGACGACTGCACGACTGTTTGTTTCCTTATACTCAGGATACCCTGGAACTGTTTCTTTCTTAGTCAAATCATTTTATAAACCAGATAAAAACTATACTCAAGTAAACCATGAGATTTTTATTCTTTATGATATTTAGGTCGTCTTTACAGGCTCATTATTAGTGGGTAACCCTTTATCTGAAACAGGTTTAATTTTATTAGATTCGCTGATTTATCTTTTTCTCACCTTAGCGCAGTCGAAAACATAATCTTTAAGAATATTAGGAGATGTATCAGTGTCTAGCTGACAAGAAACTATATCATCTCCTAAAATAAACAGCTCAAATAAGCTACTTTTACATTTTAGTATGTAGACGAAAAGGGAGTGGGTCCTGGGGGTCTAAGTATGGGTAAATCATACTAAAGTCTAAATTCTCTTAGTACAGCTATTTAGATGGATGAGTTCAATCTAATAGTCAGGAACAGTCTCTTTAAATCTGTTCGGACCAGCGCGCGTAAAGAGAAGAGGACAGACGAGCACGCAGCAAAAGTCGAGACTCTGAAGCACAGAAGACGAACTCACTTCTATTTTTACCACCAAAAGATCAAGATCTGATGTGCGACCTTAAAGAGCAAATATAATAATAAATTCATTTCTTTTCATTTCAGATGCAATATACAATTGGAGTGTTTCGATAGGGAGACGTCCATACGATCCGAAGAATAGGAGTATACAGGGGAAACTATGAACAGGACCATTATAGGATTACCTTGGACCGGGAAAAGTTTTTCCACAAGTTTGAATGTTTTTTAGAATTAAAAGAATATTACGTTAACGATCGAAACAAATTTACAAATTTGACACGATCGATTGTTTAACTATTGCATTTGTTAAGTTGTTTTAAGCACAATTAACGAACGGATTAAAAAATAACACATCGATGGATGTTTTAAGTTATCGTTATGAATCTGACATTCGTTAGTTCGTTAGGTTAGTTTGTTACGTTAATTTGTTACGTTAGTTCGTTACGTTAGTTCGTTACGCTAGTTAGTTACGTTAGTTCGTTACGTTAGTTCAAAAACAGTTGAAAAACGTATTCTAAATACAATAAGGTTTCTTTGGCTCTTTTAGGTAATCTTTCCTTTTATGGACGCCCAACACTAACAATGCAGGGTTAGTGTTGAGACTGAACTTACCAGCCTCTAGAGGATGTTGATGAACATCATGGATTCCAGGTAGAACGGTTTTACCGCCCAGGTCGACAATCTAAAATTATAATTCATCATTGTTTTATTGTTAACTTAAAACTACGGTTTCCAATCGGACTTCAGCTGCGCAGAATTGTACGGAATTGCATAGAAATGCACGGAATTGCGTGGAATTGTGTGGAATTTCGCGGAATTAATTTGTTCGCAATTGCGCGCAAGTAGACCTTGTAAATGTAATAATATGAAAACTCCAATTATAATAAAATAGTCATAGTTTTATATACACCATCAGATTACAATTGAATTATAAAATTTTATTTTTATTTTTTTAAATCTTCATATTTAATGTGCAATGGTGGATTCATAAATATAATTTTTTTAAATGTTTACTTTAGATCCTGCAACAGCCAAGTTCTCAGCAGAAGCATCATCACCAACATATCTAGATTCAAAACAATATTAGAAATTCATGTCAAATATAAAAGAATTCAACAATTTTCAATATTGGGGGCTACATTAACATGTCTTGTGTCCTAGCAATTGAACCCGGCCTACCCCAGAAAAAGAGATTTTTCATGATTTTAACTTTAATTAATCAAACGTCGATATTTTCTTCTCATGGTTTTTCAGGTAAAGATTAAAGGGGAAACTTGTGAGTTTCGTCACACTTTTAATGAACGGTCATGTTACATTACATGTACAGTTCGTTAAAAGATGTACGAAGATTGGTAAAATGTAAGGAATGATTATTTTATATTTTAAAATATCAAATAAATTTATATTAATAACTCAAAAAGTATGTTTTTAAGTTTTATTATAGTTTATTATATTTCTACCTATATTTGCTCTATATAATAAAACAAGACAATCGTATATATGTCCCCTATATACGGCCAAACTGCTGGACCGAATGAGCTGACGTTTTTTTAGGAAACCATTTAGTACCCCAAGGATGATAAAGGCTAAAAAATTCGATTTTTTTCTTCAAAAATTCGATTTTCTTTTCAAAATTTAGCATAGTATCATTATAATAATAAATAACACTGGGATGTTAGTGCGCTACGTGCCAACCTTTTTCAACTTTAAATTGTGGCTGCATCTGTAAGCATTTTCTTTTCGTACAATAAAAAATAACAAAAACGTTCGCGAATTTCATCATGTTTTTTCGTGGATTTTCAAAATTTTACGACAAAATTTTTTTTTTGAGAAAATTTTTTGAAATTCTAAGGTTCTATAAATCTTTTCCAGGGACATTTAAGGTTTCACAAAAACGAGGGCCCTGCAATAGGTTAAGCCGTTTTGACTGATAATACATAATAATATATATATTATACTAGCCTTATAAGGTGCTTCGCGCCCATCTTCTAAATTAATTGTGAACATGTTCTCTTTGTGTACATCGTAAAACAAAACAAAAATAATTCGCGGATTTTCACAAACAATTTCGTGAATTTTCAAAATTTTCAAAAATTTAATGAAGATTGAATTTTGATGGAGACAAATATTTGAAATTTTGATCATTCATAAACCTTCCCTGGGGTCCCTAGATGTCCCACAAAAAATTTGGGCCCGATCGGTTCAGCCGTTTTCACGTTTATTGGATACAAACAGACACCAGACAAAATAGACAGACAAGCCAAATTTATATATAGATTTCACTTACTTGATTTTACCATCTGCAACCACAACTGCAGTTTTAGGACTAAGCCACCAGTCCGACCCAGCAACTTAAACAAGAAATGAGGTCATGAGGTACGTAAACTTAAAAACGAAATGAGATTATGAAGTACGTAAACTTAAAAACAAATGACGTCATAAAGTACGTAAACTTAAACAAGAAATGAGGTTATGAAGTACGTAAACTTAAACAAGAAATGAGGTCATGAAGTATACATAAACTTTAACAACAAATGACGTCATAAAGTACGTAAACTTAAACAACAAATGACGTCATAAAGTACGTAAACTTAAAACAGAAATGATGTCATGAAGTTCGTAAACTTAAACAAGAAATGAGGTTATGAAGTACGTAAACTTTAACAAGAAATGAGGTCATGAGGTACACATAAACTTAAACAAGAAATGAGGTCATGAGGTACACATAAACCAAAACAAGAAATGAGGTCATGAGATACACATAAACTTAAACAAGAAATGAGGTCATGAGGCACACATAAACTTAAACAAGAAATGAGGTCATGAGATACACATAAACGTAAACAAGAAATGAGGTCATGAGGTACAAATAAACTTAAACAAGAAATGAGGTCATGAGGCACACATAAACTTAAACAAGAAATGAGGTCATGAGATACACATAAACTTCAACAGAAAATAAGGTCATGAAGTTCGTAAACTTAAACAGAAAATGCGGTCATGAGGTGCACATAAACTTAAACAAGAAATGAGAGGTACACGTAAACTTAAACAAGTAATGAGGTCATGAAGTACGTAAACTAAAACAAGAAAGGGTACCACTTGTATGAATTAGGTCTGTCACTCTTTTATTGCGAGTTACAAGAAAGTTTGTTGAGAGTCGATCCCTTTAAAAACTTAATTAATTTATATTTTTATCTTCTGTTTCTTATTTCCCTACCTGTATATATCTTTCCATTCTTGTAAACTGTAACAGGACCCTCTAGCAAACAAATTATTGTTATTGTTAATCTAAAGGAACACTTGCCACAAACTCTAATTTTTTTAATCATTGTAAGTTGTAAATTTACCACCTGATGAAGATGAAAAATTTCAAACTTCAGTCGTCGTCTTATGAAGACGACTTCCTATTTCAATTTCTTTATTTCTTCCAAGTTTTAAAATTCAGTTTGAATACACATAACATAAAAACAAAAAGAAGATGTTAATCAACAGAAATTTTAAACTTAGAGTTTATGACATGTTTTTAGTTCCTTTCTAATCTTTATAGAAATATTATTTATAATTTTTGTTGTGAAAGTGAAAAGGTGTAGCGTGCTTTAGTGCATTTAAAAATTGTATAAAATAAAATGGTTCAATGAAGTCATGGAAGTTAAACTAATATTTTTTCTATTTAATCTTTATTTCTAATCTTAGTTTTAAGAGTTTAAGACATTCTTTGAGAAGCTTAATTTGAAACCAGGGCGTGATTCTCGTTGGGTTGCTTGAATCTAAATTTATTCGAGTTTTGATATTTAGTTCAATAATCTTTAAAACGGAGTAACATTTTAATAATTTTCATTCAAAGCGCATTAGCTACAACAAAAAGTATAAAATATCGAAATATTTATGTTTAAAAGGTCAAATTGTGATCGTAAGTCACAGCTTCCAAGTGATTGTTTTACAAATTCAATGAGTTAATCTCCTAAATTAAAGAGTTTCAGAAAAGTTTATGATTTTGAACTTTGACGATGAATGAACTTAATCTCGATAAATTTCAGATAATCTCCAAATTCTTAAAATTCATAAAATCCTTAAAACGTGCAAACACACACAGCAGCTTTTTACAAGTGGTTTAAACTAACTAAAGTTGGATTTTCTTAAATTTAACAAGAACAGGTGGATTGCAATATATATGTTATTATAGCTAATTTTAGTTATAAATCTTATATTATATATTCGTATGTTTCCTCAAATGGGAGGGGCTACCCTGCTCTAACCCCCACCCCTCCCCCGTGAAAAACGGGAATTTAGGTAATATAAACTGGATAATTATAGTCGTATGCTCTAAAAAGGTTTTCATTTCTTAATTATTAAACAATTTTAAAAAGTTGATTCAAAATAATAAAACCAGAAAACTTTGAGTTTTCCTGTTATCACTGTACATCCCCCCCTCCCCCCTTTTAGACTATGCAGAATAAGCATGACGTTTTATGCTCGACTGCTTTTGTAACAAAATATTATGACTATATAATAATGAAAATTGAAACTATTGTTCACCTGTTCATAATTCTAGAAAATATTACTCATGTAACATGCTCCAGTTTACAACGCAATTTGTCGCAAAATTTGAAGAAAAAAATTCATTGCCAGGTCGGTATCCCCCAACCGCCCTTAAGGAGCTTCAATTGACAATTTACCCCCCTATATTTTTTCCTGTTTGAGTCTGGAGCGGGGTTTTTAAGTAATGAAGGTCGACGTTTATTCATCGGCCATCGAAAATGTTGAAATGCAACATAAAGCCATTTCTCATCACAAAAAAAATCATTGAAAGTTTAAAATGATCAACAACAAAAAACCAATCAATATTTTGTTAACAAACAATGTTCAAACATCAAAAAATGAATACCATAATATTACACACGATTCTCTAGATTAAAACTTGTTTAAAGAAACAAAATGTACCTTCTCCTCCGTTTGTTGGATAATCTTCTTCTTCTGGGTAGTAGTCGTCTTCATAATAATCCTGTCTCCTTTGCCGCAACAAATTCCCGTTCCCAACATCTAAACGTATTTTTTACAATTACATTCTTTTAAACATCGGAATTTCAACACTCGTCCCTCTCAGAGTTATGACGGAATATTTATCAAATACCGGTTTCACATCTTTGAACTTAACTCTATGTTTCAAATATAGCATTGGAGCCCAACTATGCATGAAAAGAAATTGTTCCCATAAAAAAACATCTAACTAATCGGTCATTGAGTTCCTGAGTTATGATTGGATATCTGTAAAACAACCAAACATAGATTACTACTTAATATTTTTATATATATACCTAAATGAAGAATATGTATGATGAGAAGGATGAGTGCTAGGTATTTCTCCATATTGTAGATTATACTGAATGCTGGTTAAATCCGGTCCAAACCTTTATATAAGTTTCATCGGTCATTATGCAACAGAACACAACAAAAATGTTAACACAAAAAAAATAATCTAATATCAGAACTAACCCATTTTTCACAAAAAAAGTTTTTTCCAAACATTTTTTTTTTTTTAATGGGTTTAAGAATAAACAAAAGCTATGCACAGTACAGTTGTTATTATATTTGCTAACGTGACAAATATAAACAAACAAAGATACACTTTAGACCAAATCAATATAGATAGTTTAATAATCATGTTACTGTGTAATAAAAATAACAAGAAAGCAAGCCTTCCATGGTCATGTTGTAACCTAAATTGCATGAAATTATTGGGGCCAGTGAATTGGAACTTAAATACTTTTTTAGAACAGGGTGTCCCACGGAACATGACAGAATTGATGAATAATTTTGAACGTATTCTTCCTTTTACTGTATTAGATACAGGGTGTCCCACGAAACATTACAGTTGATGAATAGTTTTGAATGTATTCTTTCCTTTACTGTATTAGATACATCCAGTCCCACGAAACTAGGGCTGGGCACGTTCCGACTTTTTTGAAATCGTTCCGTTCCGCACTAGAACGAGGGCCTTCAGCTAAATCGTTCCGTTCTTGTTCCTTTTTATTTAATCGTTCCGTTCTCGTTCCGTTCCGTCCCATTCCATTCCGTTCTAAGTAGAAGAACGGACTTCCCGTTCCGTTCCGTTCTTGGCGTTCTTATTTAAAGAACGGTTCCATCCCTCTCGTTCCGTTCTTAGTCAAAGAACTTTTCCATCCCTCGTTCTATTCTTAGTAAAGAACAATTCCATCCACGACAAAAGTTTTATAGAAAAGAGTTGGATAAAAAGTAAAAAAATACGATTTTAAAATAAAACGTTCCTCGCCGTAAATATACTTTAAATTATATATTTTAAATTTATGGTTAAAAGAATAAGATTAGATAATATATAATTTTGTGAGAGCGGGGGGAGGTTTTGAACGTATTCTTCCATTTACTGTATTAGATACAGGGTGTCCCACGAAACATGACAGTTAATGAATAGTTTTGAACGTATTCTTCCATTTACTATATTAAATACAGAGTGTCCCACGAAACACAGTTGATGAATAATTCATCTTCCATATACTGTATAAGGTTAAAGCCTTTTTGCAGTTTATTTCCTAAAACAAATCTTTTGCTCAAATCTATTTTACTTTGAAATCAATTTTTCATTGATATTAATTGCCACATAAAATGTTTTTTTAATCATTATTATTGATATTTATTTTCACAAACAAATATAATTTCATATAATTTGGTGTATAGATACTATAAAAAACGAAACGAATTTTTTGAATAAGTCAATTCAAAGAAATAAGAATTCTAAATGTTCATTCTAACTGCGTTTCTAATAGACATAACATCAACCATTAGCCAATTCTTGCATCCCCCATTCTCTTTAGTATCAATTAACTAGCAAACTGTGTCATGTTTTGTGGAGCACCCTGTCCAGGAAAATCGTTGAATAAAATGTCGTCATTGGTCTTACTTTAAATTAAGAAACGTCCCCAAAAAGAAGCTTGTAATCAGTAATTATTACAATTGTTGCAATAAAGTTATATATTTTTAATGTTCAGAAATCAGAACTTTTGTTGTACACAATATCTTATAGAATAAATTTAAACTTTTTAATATGCGTCAAATAATGTTCGTTTTCAGTAGGTTTCTTGGATGCTTTCAGGCAATCATACTTTATTCACAGTGCAGTGGAGATCCCCTAATAATGGAATAACTGTCGTCTTCTGTCTTGTTCTTTCAAAAGAAACTCTGTCCCGAGTAGTTTTCTTACAAACACACAATGAACGACAAGATCAAGGTTATAATGCAAGGAGGTGTAAACATCTTTTGTACTGCAGTGTACTGTCTCTGGGCGGTAATGTAAACACAGACGGATGTCAAAGCCTGACATGGGATCCATCTTTCACATAAAAATCAATGAAATATTCTGGTCATAGGAAACTATTATGTGAATTATCAAAATTTTCAAAATTCAATGCTTTACCCTCCTCGGATACTAAACGGACACTAATGCATCTATTTTTGTTTACAAAGTCCGCCCAGAGAAAACTGGTTTCAATATTGTTTCCAAACAATATTGTGCATTGTTTGGTCGACAAGATGAAGCCTCTCACTGTGTGCGGAATAATTATCTATCTGGCAAATAAAAATATAAACCAAAAAAAATTGTGTCTGTCACAAACTCTGATCTTCTCTGAGAAAAAAATCAAAGTAAAAAATATGAAAAGCTATGAAAAAAGCGTGTAAATAATACCCGTAATTGTTTTCGTCAAATTTTCTCTCAAATCACTCACAATTAAGTAGATTAACACTTTATGCACGTATATTAAAATAATTTTGTACATAATTGAGTTTTGATTTTCATTACAATATTAAAGTAGTATAATAAATCAAAGATTACATAAAGTAGTACACTGGTCATAATATAGTTAAATACATACAATCTATATCATTTTTTAATTTACTGTTTGAAGGGCATGTAAATCTTTCATTTAATTTTCACATGAAATTTTATATCAACGGTACCTTTAAGATAAAAAAGTAAAAATGCCTCGCATACAGGTCATAATTCAATATTTGGCATTTTCTTATACATTTGAAGAATAAGAAGTTAAACTCTTCCAAATATTGTGGAAAAGAATAGTCAAAATAATTATTGACTAATTGAACAATTTTGAATAATGAAGAAAAAAGTAAAGTTATATTAGATGTTTCAGAACAATTCAGTAGAACAGGAAAGTAGGACGGAAAGAAAGAAAGGATGTGTACGACTGGAACTGGATTATGAGGACGGAGAAGAAAGGAAGAATTCTGAAGATTAGAACAGGATACAAGATGAATGGAAGAATTATGAAGATTAGAACAGTATACGTAGGACGGAGAAGAAAGGAAGAATTATGAAGATTATAACAGGATACGTAGGACGGAGAAGAAAGGAAGAATTATGAAGATTAGAACAGGATACGTAGGACAGAGAAGAAAGGAAGAATTATGAGGATTAGAACAGGATGCGTAGGACGGAGAAGAAAGGAATAATTATGAGGATTAGAAAGGATACGTAGGACGGAGAAGAAAGGAAGAATTATGAAGATTAGAACAGGATACGTAGGACGGAGAAGAAAGGAAGAATAATGAGGATTAGAACAGGATACATAGGACGGAGAAGAAAGGAAGAATTATGAGGATTAGAACAGGATACGTAGGAAGAAGAAGAAAGGAAGAATTATGAGGATTAGAACAGGATACGTAGGACGGAGAAGAAAGGAAGAATTATGAGGATTAGAACAGGATACGTAGGACGGAGAAGAAAGGAATAATTATGAGGATTAGAACAGGATGCGTAGGACGGAGAAGAAAGGAATAATTATGAGGATTAGAACAGGATGCGTAGGACGGAGAAGAAAAGAAGAATTATGAGGATTTGAACAGGTTGCGTAGGACAGAGAAGAAAGGAAGAATGAAGAGCAAAAGAACAGGGCGGAGAAAATTTCCATTATTACACCCATTCATCCCACAGGTATAGATACAGCTACGGTACTCCTGAAAATATTGTAAAATATTGTTAAATTAATATTAAAATCAGAAGGGTCACTGTTTTAAAGGGACTGTAAACGTAATTTCAAGTCGTTCTTCGTGTATAGTTTAATTTCCGATTTACATTGGTACACTTTAAAGCTTTTCTAATAAAAAAATGAGGGATATTCATAATCTTCTCTTTTAAAGTTAGTTATTTTCAAGTGGGGGTTCTCTATAAAAGGAATTGCGCACAATTTCAAGCTAAAATATCGATGATTTCCCCAACATAATGCCGATATCTATTTTTAACTTAAAGGGAGTGACCGGCAATGTATGGTAGTTGAACTAAGAAACTTTTTTAGGAATCATTTGAAACATACTAGACGTTTTTACGGAACATATTTCTTCGGCAAGAGCGCAAATTCAAGGATTGTATATGCTTGAGGGGCGATTTTGAGAATCGGGTCTATAAAAATTATTCAAAAACGACAATGAAAAATTATAAAAAAATTACAGTCCCTTAATGTCAATAATATTTATATTATATTATGTTTACAGTCCCTTAATGGCAATAATATTTATATTATATCATGTTTACAGCCCCTTAATGGCAATAATATTTATATTATATTATGTTTTATACAGTTCCTCAATGACAATAATATTTATATTATATTATGTTTACAGTCCCTTAATGGCAATAATATTTATATTATATTATATTTACAATCCCTTAACGTCAATAATAATTATATTATATTATGTTTACAATCCCTTAATGGCAATAATATTTATATTATATTATGTTTACAGTCCCTTAATGGCAATAATAATTATATTATATTATGTTTACAGTCCCTTAATGGCAATAATAATTATATTATATTATGTTTACAATCCCTTATTGGCAATAATATTTATATTATACAGGGTGTCCCAAAAAACATGGGAATTCAGTGACGAATTCGTTATCGTCTTTTTTTATAATTCTTTGATTTAGTATAGTGATACCAACTGAGAAAGCTTTAATCTGTAAGAGTTTCGTCTGCTATGTTTAAAAGGAGCTAGCAAATATACAATATTTGTTTAGGCTGTACTATCAGACATATTATAAAGGAATGCTCTATAATTTAGTTTTGAAAAACTTTTAACATAAAAACAATTTCACTCAGCTTCTTTTTAACCTCCTACTGGCTTGGATGTCTTTCCAAGATAGAAAAAGGACACTATTTTAAAGGGTGGTGTTGCAATTCTTGTTTTAACTCTTTAAATGGAGTAATCACGTGAAATTGCGCCAAAAGTCCCTTTAAGATCAAAATAAAATGTGTCAACCTGAATATCTCCTGGTCGCTGAATATATTCACAATAATTCCCCCAATCACGTGATGAACAAAATCTAGAAGAAAAAAATAAAGAAATCTATTTAACATGTACATTTTATATTTGTAAAATGCATTGTAAACTATATAATTATACACTACAATTCGTTTAAAATGTTTTTAAATGTATCAATTAAAAAGACGATATCAAAATCGCCACTGAATTACCATGGTTATTAAGACACCCTGTATCAAACAAGCTATTAATCCAGGCTCTAAATACCACACAAGGACACAAGCGTAGCTATCAAATAAGCTATTACTTATCGATCCCAAATTAAAGAGGACGGTCTTAAACCTGTTTATAAAAACAGGGAACGTTTACTCTCTCGTTGTAAACGGTACAGAGTCTCTATATCAACTAAGGTATATTTCTTCAGTTTAGATTAGAATTCGGTCCTTAACAGCATAATTACAAGTTATGCGCTGTTATATATAACGTAGTTTAAACATTCACAATATGGGTATATATATATATATATAACGTACATTGAACGGGTTAATCGCATTACATGATTTATGTATTTACTAATGGGCACATTTAGCTATATGAACGAAAAACAAGGTAATTTACTATGGGCCTCTATATTTGCTACATACATACTGTTAAAAATATGTTACTTATGTTATAAAATAAACTGTGTCATTAAAAATCTTGTTCCTAATTGTTATAAAATGTAATGTGTACAGTGAAAAGAACTGGTAAGTACATGTTATAAAATGTACTGTATAAAATGTACTGTATAAAATGTGTGTAAAATTTGTACTAAACGTATTAAGTGAACTTCATGTGCACTTTCTAAAAGTGTATACTTAATGTTAAAACAAAGTTTTACTAAATACAATAAAAAAATTTGTAATACGTGTGGTAAAATGTACTGTATTAGTGTATACTGTGTAAAATGTGTACAAATGTAAATTGAACATCGAGGTGTATTAAATAAACTGTTAAGTGTAAAAGTTTTACACCAAAATAGTGTTTTTCAATGTAAATAAATTTTCAAACCTTGGCAAATGTAAAATATAATTTGTTAATTACTGAAGAATATTTAGAAAAAAGGGCTAAGAAAACATTCATAAAATCGACAAAATACAAAATAATTATGCTTTTAGTTTGAAACCTCGCCAAACTGCTATAGAGTGCAAAGCAAATTTCAAAAAATAGTTTAAAGTTTTATTTTTAAAAAAAATTTATTTGGTTTCACCTTTTTGTTCCGAGTTTTCCGTCAAATACTCCGGTCATCTTCACACAGTAACCAGCCTTTAACATCAGTATTTTTATATTCATGTTTAACATAATAGAAAACTAACTTTTATAAATCCATTAATTTCTTATTACTTTCTGAACCATAACTTTATAATTTTTCTCATGTAATGGTCTTTAATTTTATAAATAATAAAGAGAAAAATATGGATTTCTCATTCATTCTTAATCAGACTAAGCTTCTAAGGTTACCGTTGTGAATCGGAAATGCAACTGTATCAATTGAGGGTCACATAAATTACGTGTACAGTCCCTTTAATTACCTAAAATACATGGCTACAGTCCCTTTAATTACCTCAAATACATGACTACAGTCCCATTAATTACCTCAAATACATGACTACAGTCCTTTTAATTACCTCAAATACATGACTACAATCTGTCAGATATTGTGAAGCAACTTCATTCACTTCCCAGAATTCCGAGCAAGGGAAATCCTGAACATGAGAAATTAGAAGAATAAAAAAGTAGAAAATTATAAAACAAAAGTAAGGTTTAGAAATTAGAAAAAAAAACACAATTAAATATATAAAAGAAGAATTGGAAATAAAATGAGAACATCAGAAGTTAACTGAGTTCTTGCCACAAACTATTGTTTTTAAATCTATATATCTTTGCAACCTGATGATGTAGACCTCTGATATTTCAAACTAGGAATTATCTTTGATGAAATGATCAAAGTTTGAAATAATTAAAGTTTACTTCATGAAGTTGAAAAGATTAGGATTAGAAAATTAAAGTTTTGACACTTAGTTCCTTTTAAAAGTACAAATATAAAAGATAGAAAGGAATTGAGTAGTTGCCACAAACTCAACTTTTCTAAACCCATTATCTTTGCAACCAGATGGTGTAGACTTTTGATATTTCAAACTTAGATTATTTGATCCAACAGAATTTATAGTTAGAAATATCTAAGGTCTACGACATTGGGTTTCAAAGATATAGGGATTAGGAAATCAGCCATTGTGGCAAAGACTCATGATTCGTTAGAAAATTAAATGAAGGAATAAGGAAATTTGAATTGATTAAATTTATGATTTGAAAAAAAATCTTTTAGAGTATTAAGAGAACTCTAAAAAAATTCCAAACTGTAAAACGTACGTTTTAATTTTTTTGTTTTATAACTTACATCTGCTGAATTACATTCAAAACAATGAATTGACAGTCCAAAGGGTAGACTCATACACAATACTAGAAGCACAGCCTAAAATGATAATGATAATAATAATAATAGTAATTATTTAAAAGTGAAATTAATAAAAATATTTTTATTAGAACACAAACCTGCAGCATTTTTATAATTTTCTTGTGTCAAATTATCTATTTTTTAGATCATAATAATAATATATCTGAAAATGAAGAATAAAAGTAAAAATATTTTCAGTTTCATATTTTGGCGAAATGACAGTGCTTTATGCTATGTTATTTCTAATTGACAGATTTGTCAACTTTTGTTAACCGATATCCGAATATTCTATTAATCTTGACCGGCCAAATATTGCCTGAAAGGGAGTGTTCGCGTAAAATGAAAAGGGGTATAGGCTTACGGCGAAAAATTATCGTTGGTAATTGTTACTAATCTTACTTACTTACTTACTTACTATCTGTTGCGTCTATAAGAAGAAAATTGTTAATTCATCTGACTGTAGCCACATTTCTATTGCAGGAAAGTGTATGGAAATTACCAAAATATAAAACTATTAAAAACAAGACATCATCCCCCACATCATTGAATGAAGGTTTCGAGGATACCATTTAGAGTCAGGCATTGTCATCATTTCATGAAGGATTATTTGAAAGTATGCTTACAGTTTCTATAAATCATAACTTACGTTTTAAGTCGTCTTCCTATTTCACAGTTTATGGGTCCTACTGAAATATAATTCGATATCAGCGTTTACCTCATTCATTTTTTGCGAACACTCCCTTTAAAAAGCTATAAAAAGAATTGTACAGGGGAATGTTTAGATGAAGAGAAACCAGAGGACTAAACCCACTTCCCATGTATTTAACGCCACAGAATGGATAGAAATAAATAAGAGAACTGAACGCCATAGAACGGAGATAAAAAGAGAACAAAACTACGCCACAGAACAAAAATGATGCAACCTTACAGTATTGGTCAAGAACAGAAAAAAACTTTCCCAGTAATTATGTTTACAAGTCAATTGTTCTAATTTTGAAACCTATACGGTCTCCAATGAAACCCTGGAGGGTGTCCGATGAGATATCTGGGTCTCCAGGGACGCTCTTGGGGTCTCAAATGAAGATGATTTCTTCCAAGACTCCCTAAATCTGCATAATGCTGACACCTGAGGATTTTCTGAACCCCCATTCAATGTTTAATTAGAACTTGTAAAATGCACAACTCTACAGTTCTTCAACATAGATAAATAACTGGAGAATGGGCAAAAACATAAATAAAACGAAAGAAAAAATTAGATAAATTCCTTGAAAGAATTAAACATTTCAATTGTGAACCACGTTATAGTATACACATCTTGAAACAGAAAAGCAAGAAAATATATAAAATAACTTTAAAATATAATTTGTTAACAAAAATGATGGTTCCCTTTGGCAGAAATAAATACGTCCCACTTCTACCCAGCTACAGACTTTATGTGCTATATACCATGGCCACCATAACCAAGCTATTTTCAGTGGTCACCTCCCCCCCCCCTCCCCACTTCTACCCAGCTACAGACTTTATGTGCTATATACCATGGTCACCATAACCAAGCTATTTTCAGTGGTCCCCTCCCCCCCCCCTCCCCACTTCTACCCAGCTACAGACTTTATGTGCTATATACCATGGCCACCATAACCAAGCTATTTTCAGTGGTCGCCTCCCCCCCCCTCTTCCCCACTTCTACCTGACTACAGACTGATCACTGATCAGTGATAAGCTGAGATTTGTACTTTATCATTATCATTATCGTAATTGTGTATATCTTGATAATAAGTTATCCTTGGACTAAATTTATATAATAGCGAAAAGAAGCTGAACCAGGTAAACCTAGTTAAACTACTCCTTTTCAGATTGAACTGGTGCAGAAGTGCAATGATTGAACTACTTCTGTGCGGTTCAGCCATCTCTAGCTATTCATTAAATCTGATCCCAGGGTAACTGATTTGTTTTAATCGGATTAAAGTTAATTTGAGAGATAAGATTCATAGTTGAACTGAATAACAATTAAAAGTTATATATCGTGGCCACCCTGCCGACGGCGGCTGGGAATGCCAAAGGCCCAATAAATAAGTGAATAAATGTTTTTTCTGTAATCTGAACCCTAGATAATGGACTTATTTGTCAACAGTAATAAGAAAACCTATAGAAACTAAAGGGACAGTCAGCAATAAAACCTGTAGAAACTAAAGGGACAGTCAGCAATAAAACCTGTAGAAACTAAAGGGACAGTCAGCAATAAAACCTGTAGAAACTAAAGAGACTGTCAGCAATAAAACCTGTATAAACTAAAGGAACTGTCAGCAATAAAACCTCTAGAAACTAAAGAGAATGTCAACAATAAAACCCTTTAGAAACTAAAGAAACTGTCAGCAATAAAACTTGTAGAAACTAAAGGACTGTCAGCAACAACAGTATATAGAAACTAAATAAATGTAAGCAACAAATTTTATAAAAACTAGATAAATTGTAGCAATAAAATCTTTAGAAACTAAATGACGTTTAGCAACAACATTATATAAACTCAAGAAACTGTCAGCAATAAACACATTGAAATTAAAAAAGCTGTTTTTAAAGTATAAACATGAAGCCGGAAATGAAGGCTCAATGATCATTAAACGATCGTAAAATGTTCTTTCTATTTAGAAAATGGATGGTTCCAGTTTTGGTTATTATTTAAGGAATATTACTTAAGACAAACTTCGTTACATCTCCGTAAATGTTTCTGAAAAAAAATAAACACTAGGCACACGTTTTGTAAATCCCAGGACTAAAGAGCTTTCTAAGCATTATTTCAAAAATTAAATTGCTTGATTATCCAAGCCTAAAATCAATAACTTGGTAAATACAAAATATGTCACTAAATATTACATGTCTTTAACTAGCTCACTATGTAAGATAAGAATTTTTTTTAGATTAAATCTCTTTTCTTAGAACAATTAAGATTTAAGGAGAGGGATTGAATGTTTAAGATCGAAGGCACACAAAGCTAAATGTTGTAAACACCTGGTTCGTATATACATGGATTAAACTCAAACTAAATATTGGTTAAGTGTACACTTTAAACAGGTACCTGGCAGGTATACAGGATAGATAGATAGGATAGGTAGATAGATAGATAGATATAAAGATAGATAGATAAATGAATAAAAAGATAGATATATAGATAGATAGATAGATAGATAGATGGATAGATGGATAGATAGATAGATAGATAGATAGATAGATAAATGTATAGATGGATGGATAGATAGATAGATAGATAGATAGATAGATAAATATTGGAAGTACTTGCGAATTGCAGTTTTGAACCAATTTTTGGCGCGAAACCGTTAATAGTTTACTTGTATTTTGTTGTTATATTCAAGGTAAAATTATGTTGTTCATCCTGATTTCTCGTTTTGGTTTATGACTGGTGTATCATGTGATATAGAGGTATAGCAATTACTGACGTGCATTTTATGTCTTTACACTGCACAACTGCTATGTCTTATGTCTTTTTGAGTCTAAAAGTACATATTCCACAGTTTTCTGGTTCTCACTGTAATTGGACAATTAAGTGTTTTTATTTAATTATCGGCTGATTTAAGGGTTTCTCTCAGTTCAACCATATTTTGATATTCCGTTAATTTTCTTGAAAACTTTAGAAAAACATTTTAAAATATTTAATCTTGTGCAGCGTTTTAGGAGCAAAGATATTTTCGATCTAAAACTCATTTGTCTTCTGTCAGATTAATCCATATAATTAAGTCAAAAGCATTAAAGTTTTTGAAATTTAATTCCAATAAATAATTACACTGGAGAAATGTCAAAAATCGGCTAAAATCCTAGTATTGTGGAGACCCGTATGATATCGTCTTCCAGTCCGGAAGCTCAACTAACCAAACCAAATATATCTGATAGTACATTAAATCCATGTTGTAACTTAGACTTCGATATATTTCTCAGTTCGTTTATTTAGCTTCTTTATTTCTCACTACAATATATTTTATTCATCATTTATATTTGTCTAAAGCAAAATTACATTAAACAATATAAAAGTTTACAATTTAATACTAATACTCCATTCTCTGGATATCACAATTTATGATTGACAGGGTTTGCCAAAAAAACATGTGCCAAACAAGACTTTTAGCATGAGTATAGTTTAGTTATTCAACGGTGGTTTTCAAAGGTGGTTTTCAAAGGTGGTTTTCAGAAGTGACGTCTCTTGGTCCCAACCTAGTGTTTTTCTTTTTCTAAAAATGTGGTGTGCAAGGCTTGATAGATTTTCGCACATTGCTTTGAAACTAACAATGGGTTTGCAGAACAATTCTGCAGTTGTTTTAGATTTGCTTCATTTGATGGTAAGATATAACCTCTTGAGCCGAATAGCGATATATCTAATAAAATTGGTGTTTCCTCTAAATATCTTTTTTGATGTAGTGCAACCTTGCAGCCATTAAAAATACGGTTTTAGTTTCTTGTCTTCTACCCGTAAATTCAGCGTCTGCCTGTAAACTGTAAAACAGTTTACAGAGATCTGATGCAGATTTGCCCCATTTGAAGAAGGTTAGTCTGTGTTGGCAGGGTGTCCAAACAGTAGTTGAGTATATATTTCAGCGTGCCTCTCTTTAGATTGAACATGTAAGATTTCCAGATCATGTCAGATGTTTCAAGCATTGCCAGGCAGAGCAAATGTCCTTGTTTTTAAGTGTTTCTGTATGTTCTCTCCAGAAAGTTTCGTTTTCAAAAGATACTTTTTCACTGACAGTTGTTTTCATTTTTTTATAGCATTGATGTTTGGAAGCTTGGTCTTCCCACTCAGGCATTTCTGCTTGACCATAGTTCTCTAANTTTGAAATGTTTTTCCTTGCATGTAATTTACAAATAGTTTGGAAAACCCGCAGAATAACAAAAATCTGAGGTATTATTGTTATTGGTTATTTCTGTTATGCCACTGAGAACACTATACTTCATAATCTAGATGTATATTTTGCATGTACGTCGGGGTGTTTGTATCCAATAAACGTTAAAACGGTTAAGTCGATCGGACCCAAATTTGTTGTGCCAACTCAGGGAAAATTTAAGAATGGTCATTGATCATAACTATGAAATATTTCTCATAAAAAAAATACAAATCTATATTATTCAAAATGTGCACTTAAGTACTTACGCACATTTATTGATTGACTTAAGCACATTAATAACCTGAGTGCGAATTTATTTCAATTGAGTGCCGACTTAAATCTTGAAAAATTGAATACGATTTTAAGTGGAACCGACCATATTAGAGCCGCGGCTTGAATTTAAGCCACGGCACAAATTCTTTAAATTTGGCCTCCGATTAACAATAAGGGTACAAGGGTACCGTTAAGAATCGGGCATCTCTCAAAAGAGTTCATTAAACTCTATCCCTTAAAGCATGAAACATTCTGTTGAAAGAAATCCTCGTGAAATTCAATGTTAAGGTCTGTCAGTTTTTTCCTGTAACTTTATTCTTGCGTAAAGTGTATCTTTCCTGCTTTAGCAAATGTTTAGATATTTTCATGTTTTGGGTGTAAGCTTGCAATGTCTCCGCAAATATCAACTTTGTCACTTTTTAAACTGAGTTTATTTGTATTCTCTAGACTACTATGAAATATTTCATCAAATTTCAAGACTGGGTCGACTTAAAAGTACTTTATGACCTTTGATTCTACCTCGCTAACTTGTACTTTTTTGTAGCTCTGAACATGTACATTTTAAACTATGCAGCACTTGTTTTTAGGTTATAATTTTAAGATGCAAAACACTGTGAATACCAAAAAAATACATTTTACATATAGATAATATAAGATTTACTTACACAACTTTTAAAATATAGCTTTATGCCTATTTTCATCACAGCTGGTCTCTCAAAATTGGAGTTGCGTGTTTACTTCAGGGACAAAGAAGGAAATTGTCAAAATTTATCATGGTGAAAAAGGAGAATATCCTTTTCGTGGCAACTATTAAAATTTGAAGGTTATATCGTTGTGAATATGTCATTTGTTAAAATGTTGTCTAAAAGTCACTTAAATCCTTTAAAGTCCTGGAAGAATGTTCGGAACTTAGGAAAATGAATAATTAATTAATCCAATTTTAAAACTAAAAAACCGCGATTTCCTCTTGAACTTGATTCTAACAAACATCCAACTCGTTAGAATTGAAGAAAATATTCCCTTTAAATCCTTTATAGTTCTGGATAAGGATGTGTCCACAAGAATGTTAGGATTGCAGGAATGAGGAGGATGTGGGGGGGGGACAATAGAAACTATTTACTATAAGTTTATATAGTTACGTGAGCCGGACACTATTTTAGTTTTGCACTAAAACTAACATGTGACGTATTCAAGTATTTCAGAATAGTAGACTGCCCACTGTTTTAAAGGATACTTTCTGCGTAACTTTGATTTTTCAATTATTTTAAAGGGACTATTAAGAAAAAAAAAGAAAGGGGTATAGACTGAAACCTTAGAATCTTAGGAGTTGAACGATACCTATAATACATCTATCTGATGTTCCTGTCTCGAGAAATTGACAAAAACTGTGTCAAATTTTACCAAAACGTATATATGTAAGATATACGTCCGTATGACGTGACCAGAACTCCCTCGGCAGTGCAATATATTGGTCGTGTGATACAGACGGAGACATGTGACGATACAATAATACTGCACTGCCATTGGTTGGAGTTCTGGCGACATGTTCCGTATGCATAAATAATATTAGTAATTATATCTATTAAAAATGAAAAATTATTAAATTTTAATAAAAATAGGAGAAAACTTGAGTTTCTCAGGCTCCTCTGGGATAGATCGTTGTTTTTAGATTAGTTGCGTATTTCTTGAATATGATCTGTTTAATACTACGAATCTTATTATACAAATCTTAAATATATATGTTTTTTTGGCCTGATTTTGACACAGTTTTATAT